TTAATTTCGTTGTGCAAGGAAACAGTCATCATATGATAGGTAATTCAAAAACCTGACTCTTCCTTGAAGTCAGGACAAAATATCTAACTATGACTACAAGCCTCAGAAATAGTGACACATAGGTCACTTCCAGTAGTCTAAGATCCCCAGCCTTTAGCATCTCAGAATCAGATGTCTAAATTCAAAGTCCAGGACAGAAAGAACCTGAAAACAATGACCTACAAGGAATTTGGGAAAGAAATGACCTTTCACCTCATTTTCCTTGCTATCTGAAGTCATCGGATGGGGACATTAACACGCATCCCATGAGAGAGTAAGGTCAAAAGCAGGTGAGAATATGACCGTAGAACACAGAAGCCGATTTCTAATCCTCTCACAAGATTTCTGACCACTGATGGAGGGAGGAGACACTCTGGCTCACTCAGAAGGCACAGGAAGGGCCGGTGTGCTGGTGGCAAGTGAGGACCCACTTCCAGAGGACACAGGCGTCTTTCCGACGTGATGCTAGTCGTCCTTACTGAAAGAGACTTCTGGGGGAGACAACCAAAGGGATGAGATGGGAAGACCCCTAGAAACGGTAGGGTAAACAAGGCACCATTACTAGCAGCAGGCCCAGATGGAGGAAGTCTTGGCTTGTAGATTGATGTAGTCCCCTTGGGTGGACACAGACATGCTATCTTCTTTGGAATTGCTCATCATCTTTTCAATGAGGACTCTAAACAAACAAAAAATAAGCCTGAGAACGTGGGCTGAGAAAAGGGGGAGGAACCCAGATATCACCATCTGTCTTATTGGCAGACGGGCACATGGCCTTGGTAAAGCCGCTAGGGTTAGCTGCCTCTTTCCCTGGGTGTGTGGGGAGATGAGCCTGCCCCGCCGCCTGCAGGAGCTGGCCTCAGTGACCCAGCTTCTTGTTTCTTGGAAACAAGCAAAGAAGGTATGGGGGCCACTGTGGGCGACAGGCAGATCCAAGTACTGGGCCCCCCCAAGAGCTGCTCACCTCATGGCCTCGTTTACATTTTTGTTTTCCTTTACTGATATTTCTGTCCAACCTGTGAAGCCATTTTCTTTACTGAACCGGTCAACTTGGTCTCTGCTCACCGCCCACGGGGACAGATCGCACTGGCAAAGAGAATAAGAGGCAGCTCCATAAGCTTCCTGAAGATAGGAACCTTGCTCAGATGCCTGTGGATCTCAAACACTTGCAGCAAATGGCTAGGGCACTAGCATCTAAAAATCTACAGGGCCCTCCTTGGTGGCACAAGGGGTTGAAACACAGCACTACCAAGCTAGTCGAAGCTGCCGCAGCACGAGTTCGATCCCCGGCCAGGGAGGTGACCCACGTGGCATGGCAGACCTCTCCTGTCTTGCCCGCTGCTCCCCTCAGCAGTGTACTTCGCCAATCAGCATGTTCTGCTGTCTCTGGTGAATCCTGTCACCACCCTTGCACCTCTGGCCTGTACCCCAGTTCCATATGCATAAATAAATAGACCTTTAAAAAAAATACAGTCAATGTGCTTCCTAAAGAAAGTCTCAGCCACCCTAGAAAGCAGGTGGAGATGATTTTGCCAAGTTGTGAAGGAAGCAGCGGCCCAGAGTTAGGATTTCAGTTCCCAGCCCCGGAGAGGCCGGCGGTCACTGTCCTAGAGCACCAAGTACCTTGTTGGCCAAGAGCAGACAGGGCACAGGCTCCCCGTTGGGCAGTGTGAGCTTGCTGTCCAGGTCCTGCTTCCACTTCTGGCTGTTGCTGAAGGTTGTGGCGTTGGTGACATCAAACATGATGACACATGCAGCAGCGTCCCGGTAGTATAGTCGCGTCATAGAAGTGAAGCGCTCCTGTCCTGGGAGGAAGGAGGTGGCCTTGACGAGAGCTCCTGAGAACCCGTCTCAGGCACCTCCGAGGCCCTCTCCTGCCTGTGCTTGTTGTGGGAGAGAAGGCAGTATGGATGGTGGCTGAGTCTACATTCTGTTCCTAGATCACCAGGTCCAAATCCCTGCTGTCATTTATTATCTAGGACTTTGGCCATGTCAACTTTCCGTGCTTCAGGTTTCTCATGTGTAAAAGCTACTGCTCTTTTTCTTTTTAAAGATTTATTTATTTATGCACACAGAACTGGGGTCCAGGCCAGAGGTACAGGGGCGGTGAGAGGATTCGCCAGAGACAGTATGTGGATGAGAACAGGCCGACTGATGAAGTGCACTGCTGAGGGGAGCAGCGGGCGGGTCAGGAGAGGTCTGCCGCGCCAAGTGGGTCACCTCTGGGGCAGGGATCGAACTCATGCTGAAGTGGCTTCTTATTGCTGTGCTTTAACCCACTGAGCCACCAGGGAGGGTCCTAAAAGTTATTGCTTTTATTATAAGGTTGTGAGGATAATGAGGCAGTGACTGGAAAATGCTCATGCTAGGACAACTGCTTGCACTTGTTACTATTATTACTCTATTGTTATTTGTTACTATTCTTGTCTCTATTTCCTGGAGATCTTGTTTTTCACCAAGGTCAGCTGAAAAAAGGGTGCCTCCCTGGTGGCCTAGTCTGAGCGCTACCCACCACGAAGACCTGAGTTTGATTCCTAGCCAGGGAGCTGACCCACAGGGCACAGCAGACCTCTTCTAACCCACCCACTGCTCCCCTCAGCAGTGTGTTTCAGTAGATCTGCCTGTTCTGCTCCACACTCTGTCTCTGGTGTATCCTCTCATACCCCTGCCCAGTACCTCTGGCCTTCACCCCAGTTCTCCTATGCAAAAATAAACAAAATCTTAAAAAAAAAACTTCTGGTAAAAGTGTCCACCCCTGGGGCTTGTACCTACGCTCCGGACACCCAGACACCGGGCTGTCCCTCCACCCAACAGAGACGCTGCTATGTTTATTCAGAGCAAAAGCTCTACAGAAAACGTCTTGAAAAGCTGTCCATTTATTCAGCTCATATGTCCTCAGAACAGCTCACTTGTTCTAGCTTCAGAGGGTTTTGCTGCCTCACCTTTCCTTGGAGAACTTGCTTATTCTCATCCAATGTCCCCAGCCTACCTGCAATATCCCACAGCTGCAGCCGCACCATCTCAGAGTCGGACCACTGGAGAACCTTCAGAGCAAAGTCCACTGGAAATACATGGAGGATACACTTGAATAAAAGCCACCTTGAAAAAATTCTCAGTAAACTCGGTTATAAGCCATGGGCCACACAACTCCTATCTGTCTAGTTCTTTCTATTTAAGCCTCAATGGGTAGGGATGAACCTACATTCATGTATTAAGTATGGGACCCCAAGAAGTCTCCAGTCTTTTTGCTCATCTGCTACTTATCTCTCAAGGGGTGGGGTGGGGGCAGGCAGGTGGGAGTAACTATGAAAGCAAATGGCTAACCTCAGGTTAAACAGTCTCTGGGAGATTTACGGGGGGTTCTCAAGAAAAGGAAGATGGGGTGGAAGGGGGGAAATGAGTTACATGTAGTAGCTTTTGCATCTTTCATGTGTAGTTTCACTGTTGGTTTTAATTAAATTTTATTTTGAGGAAAACACATCCAAGGAGAATGTTACATCCGTCTAAGGCCGTAGGGAGTTCCTCAGGCAGGAGCAGTAAAATAAAAAGGTCTCAGAGGAGTCCCAGGATGATACTGAAGAATTGTTCTGGAACCTACTACCGCATTGCTAGAGAACTAGATTCAATGAGTCAGGGCTGAGACAATGTGGAGGGAGGTAGGGTGAAGGGCAGGAAAGCATTTTGAGAAAAGAGAGAAATAGGGTAATTGCCTAGGTTTTGAAATATATTCTTCCACATCTGTGACAAATAAAAGCCAGAGGAAGTTTAGAATAAGCACTGAAAAAATTAGCCAAAGTCAATTATGTTCTTCACTAAAAGAAAATTAGAGCAATTGCTAAAAATTGATTAGCAGGCCACTTTGAAGCCAAATGAATGAAATAAGGATGCTCATTTATTTAGGAGCAGGGTACAGAATGGTCAGGAAACAGTCTTTGAATGTTAAACCCTGAATTTTGCTGGATGTTTTCAAGGAAGTTTTTTTTTTTTAATATGAAGTTGATTCTTTCTTCTTCTTTTTTTTAAAGATGTATTTATTTATGCATACAGAATTGGGGTACCATCCAGAGGTACACGTACAGTGAGAGGATTCACCAGAAACAGAGTGGGGAACAGAACAGGCTGATAGATGAAGTACACTGCTGAGGGGATCAGTGGGAGGGTCAGGGGCGGTCTGCTGCGCCATGTGGGTCACCTTAGGTAGGGGATAGAACTCACACTCAAGCAGCTGCAGCTAGCTTGCAGAGCTGTGTCCTAACCCTCTGAGCCACTAGGAAGGGCCAGGAAGTTGTTTTAATTGTAATGGACATGTTTGGTAATTAAAAAAAATTTCCATAATGAACTCCAGCACACATTTTCAAAACTTACACTAGTGCAAATTTCTCCTTAAAAAGAAAAATTATTTCGGCCCTCCCTGGTGGCCCAGCGGGTTAAAGCGCAGCATCAAGAATCTAAAGCCACTTTCGCATGTTCGATTCCCGCCTGCCCGGGAGGTGACCTCTCCTGACCTGCCCGCTGCTGCCCTCAGCAGTGTACTTTGTCGATCTGCCTGTTTTGCTCCCCACTCTGTCTCTGGCGAAACCTCTCGCTGCCCCTGCGCCTCTGGCCTGTACCCCAATTCTGTAAGCACAAATAAATAAATCTTAAAAAAAAAGAAAAATTGTTTTAAAGGAGATAAATAAATATTTTAGTTATTCTTCCCCTTCATGAGCTTTCCCCAAACACCTTTTAATGAACAAAAAGTCATTTCTATTCGTGAAAAAGGAGTTGAGCCCAAAGACCAAACCAGGAAAGGTACGAATCAGTGTTCTCATCCATCTTCCCCTTACCAGTTGGAGAGAAAAAGGGAGGGGAGGCAGATCAGAGAAGTGATAATTTCACTTTCTTCGAAGAATTCCTCGGTTTCCTTTATTTAAGCAATACACTGCTCAACTGTCCTGATAAGCTTGTGACTGTGTGGCCTAAGGGGCCCTCCCACACAGGCATCCCCAAAACACGAGGATCCCTGAGGTCCGGTTAAGCGTCTTTCTGCTGCTTCAACAGCTGCCTGGAACTCCCTGGAGAAGCGGGATTCTCCAGCTGCCACCTAAACACCTAAGCCACTTCTGTTGCACCTGCAATTCTCCCCTGGAAATGCAACGATCGCTCACTTCCACATCCTCTCTGTTGTCCGAATTTTCATCTTCACACCGTCGCCCTACCACTCCCGGGGCGGTCAGCACAGGCTGGGAAAACCTAGCTGGGGAAAGCCCAGAGAGACAGGCACGCCAACAGCCAGCTCGCAGCTGCTCCTCTGAACCTGGCCCAGATACCTACTTCCTGACCCGGGGAAGGGCGCAAGGGCACAGAAGCCCCAGTCCCCACCCGCAGGGGTCCAAGGCCCGTCCGGGCTTCTCGTCCAGCCGGCCCCCGGCGGCCACGTCTCACCTCCTACCGTGGTCTTGTAGTGTTTGCTGAAGGTGTCCTGCGAATACCGCTGCACCAGGGACGTCTTGCCCACCGCGGCGTCCCCCACCACCAGCACTTTGAACAGGTGATCGCGGCTGCCCATGGCCAGCAGAGCGGACGTTTTAGAGAGGCGGCAAGTGGGGGGTCGCGTGTTTTAGCCTCTCCAGCTCCAGACCCCCTTCCGACCGAAGCTTGGCATTCCCGCCTGCTGCCCGCTGCGCGGCTCTGCCAAGAAAGCAAAAAGGGAAACTCGTACTCCACCTACAGGCGTTTCCTCCCGCCCGCAGCTGTCTGGGGTGGGGCGGTGGGGCACCCGGCCGAGCCCCAGCCCCAGCTGCTCGCTCCGTCACCCCGCCCGCGCCAGAAACGCGACGGGGCTCCACGGTGCCTCACCCACCCGGACTTCCCCTGGGCGGCTCGGGAGGAAACAGCCAACTCAGTCCGCCGCTGGGCCAGAATGTACCGGTCTTCTCTCACCAAACAAACCAAGGTGGGGTTACGGGCGGCTCACACCTTGACAGCTCAGACTCTGGGAAGCCCAGGAAGCAGCTGGGTGCTTCTCCCTTAACTCCGCCAGGCATCACGTGCACGTACTCGGAGCACTACATTGCCCAGTTTACCTTGCGGTAAAATAGCAAGGGAATGTAGAGACTCGCCCTCAAGGCCTCTTGGGAAATGTAGTTTACACACTGTTTTTTTTTGAAGCCTACACAAAGTTTCAAGGTGTTGATACTCGACTACTTCATTCCCTCCAAGTCTTACATTAAAAACTTAAGATTTCAATTACACTGAAAAAGCGTCAATACCCGTTTATGATTAAAGCTTTCCTTAGAATGGAATAAAGGGGGACTTATCTTCATATAATAAAGGTCCAGAGACACATCATCAACAGTGAAAAACTAAAAGCATTTCCCCTAAGATCAGGAATGAGGCTAGGAGGTGCACTTTTATCAGCACTCTTCAACATACTATCAGATGTCCTCGCCAGGGCAATTAGTCAAAAAAAAAAAAAAAAAAAAGAAAAAGAAAAAAGGAATTCAAGTTACAAGAGAACAAGTGAAATGATCATTATTTGCATATGACATAATGTAGATAGAACACCCAGAAGAATCTACCAAACTGCAACTAGAAATGATTAAACAAATACAGTAAGTGGCAGGATACAAATTTGATATACAAAAATCTGTTTTATTTTTGTATGCAAACAATGAATTAGAAGGAAGAGAAATTAAGAAAACAATCAAGTTTACAATCGCCTTCTCCCCCAACTCCCCATGAATGAATACCTATGAGTAAAACCTAATGAAAGGTGAAGGAACTATACACTGAAAACCTAAGACACAGTCAAAGAAAATAAAAGAAGATGCAAAAATCTGAAAAGATATCTCATCTTCATGCATTGCAAGAATAAACCTTTTATTTATTTTTTTAAAGATTTATTTATTTATACATACAGAACTGGGGTACAGGACAGAGGTGCAGGGGCAGTGAGAGGACTCACCAGAGACAGAATGGGGAACAGAACAGGCAGATGTACTGAAATAAACTGCTGAGGGGAGCAGTGGGCGGGTCAGGAGAGGTCTGCAGTGCCATGTGGGTCAACTCAGGGGTGGGAATCGAACTCATGCTGAGGTGGCTTTAGCTTCTTAGTGCTGTGCTTTAATCCGCTGTGCCACCAGTGAGGGCCCAAGAATAAACCTTTTTAAATGGCCACATTAACTAAAGTGATTTATAGATTTAACACAATTCCTATAAAATGCCAATGCCTTTTTTCAAGGAAACAGAACTAAAGGTACAAAATTTGCATGAAACTATAAAAAGCTCCAAATAGCCAAAGTAATATTGACTGAAAAAAAAATATATGTATCACACTTCCTGAGTTCAAGCTATATTACACAACGACAGTAATCAAAATGGTTGTTACAATAAAGAAACACAGACCAATGGAATAGAATAGAGTACAGGAAAAATAGCCCATACGAATATGGACAGTTAATCTTTGGCAAAGGAACTATCACATAACGGAGACAAAAAAGTGTTTTTAACAAAGGGGGGGGGGTGGTGGTGGGAAATTTGGACAATCAAATGAAAAAGAAAATGAAACTAGATGCCTACTTAAGTCTATACAAGAATGTTAACTCAAAATGGATTAAAGACTTGGATATGAAACTGGAGACACCCCCATTCCGGGCTCTGATCCCTGGCCCTGGGTAGTGCAAGTGGCAGTGGGTGGTGGGCATTTTATTGCCAAACATCAGTGGTCCCACTGCGGCTCAGGCTGTAGGCAGAGGCTAGCAGCAATGTGGAGAGCAGGTCAGCTCTAGCGCTACACAACCTGTGTGGTGTAGTTCGCACTCAGGAATGTGATACTCCTCCAAACAGGCAGTAGAGAGGCACCGGGATTTGGGACCTGGATCCCAGAATGGACACAAAAAAACATACATCACCATCTGTGGACTGGGAGAAGATAATTGTACATCACACATCTCACAAAGTGTTAGCTCCAAAATGTACAACGAACTCAATACAACGGAACACAACAAAAAAGCCAAACAGCCCAATCAGAAAATGGTCAAAAGACCTAAACGGACTCTTCTCCAGAGAAGTCATTCAAATGGTCTACCAGCGCATGAAAAAACGCTCAACACCACTTTGTTGTTGTTAAGAATGATTCCTTTACTGTAAGAAATCTTTATTTATTTTGCTTAGAAGAACTGGGAGGTAGACTACAGGAAAGGACG